TTTCATTCTTCCTGCATTTGTGTTACATAGTTGATGCATAGTTGGATTCATTACAGTTTGTTTTCAACTCCAGGGTGTCTCTGGTTCTCTTTTCATCTAATTTAATTTTTTGCATATGTAATACATTCACATGGCTCAAAGGTCAACATTAGGCATCAAAAAAAGTAAAAATATTCTCAGAGAAGACTTCCCTGTACCTTCCGCTTTTTCTCCCCACCATCTTTTCTGCCTCCATTGGCTTTTTTATTAGGTTCTGATTTAGCCTTCCAGTATTTATGCCAAAAAATAAGCTATTTATATACTTAATATATATCCACATATGCGTTTTATGTACATTTATGTATGCCCATGTCTATGTGTGATATATGTTTGTATTAATGCGAGTACATATGCATATATGTATGTATATCCACACACATCTGTAAGATAACAAACCTGATTCCGTTCTCCACTTCGCTTTCTTCACTCAGCGGTGGAGATCCCTCCCTGTTATCAGCACATGGAGAGTTCCCCTGTTCCTTTTTATTGGTGCATAGTACTCCACAGCTCGACTCTATCACAGTTTTTTTTTTTATTAAATCATAGCTCTGTATATACCACAGTTTATTAAACTAGTTCTTCACTGACCAGCATTTCTAATGTTTGAAATCTTTTAGTATTACAAATATTGTAGCGATGAACCTGTGAGTACGATCATTTGTAATTAGCCATAAGGTGAACACATGGGTATCCACCATTCCGGTTATGAAATAGGCTGTCACTAGCATTCCACAAGCACCCCCCACCCCTTCTCAAATGTAGCCCCTCTTTCCTTTCTGCCCATGGTAACTTTTATCTTTTATGCTGATCCTTTCCTTGCTTTTCTTGGTAGTTTTACAGCCGACACATGCATTGCAAACACTGTCATTTAATATTGTCTATTTTGATCTCCCTATAAATGGAATCGTAAATCGTATACTCTTTTATGTCTGGTGGTTTTTGCTCAAAATTATATTTGTGAAATTTATCCTTGATGTTAGGTGTAGCTGTTGTTCATAGTTTTGCATTGCTGTGTAGTATTCCATTGCGTAAATATACTACAATTTATGCACGCTAATGTTGGGTGATATGTGAGTTGTTCCCAGTGTGGGGCTGTTTTAAATAACAGTGCTATGAATAATGCTGTTTATGTCTCTTGGTGGACATGTGAATCCATTTCTGTTGGGTATTTTTTTTTTTTTAAGGGAGAATGTCTTACAATCAGCCTCAAATTCAGCAATATTCTAGGGCAGTGTTTTGGTCTCAGGAGCCCTTTTACACCAGTATTTTGCCACTTTTTAATCTCATGGCACACTTGAATCTATAGTTAAACTTACATGACACACAAATTATGTTGATCAAAAAAATAGTAAAAAAAATATATATATATATATATATTTACTGTACTTTGAACTTCTTTCAAAAATAATTTAATTAATGATCTTTAAAAATGTTTACAGCACACCTAAGATACTCTCATGGCCATGGCCCACTGGTTGAAAATCCCTGTTCTATAAGGACTCATAAAACACAATAACAGGTCATGCTTTTAGAAAAGGTTTATTATAGCAAATGATATAGGACCACAGGTCTACTGATGGGGAATTCTTGTAGTTTATGTATCTCTGAAATGTCTTTATCCATCTTTATTACTGAAAAATAGTTTTGCAAACTCTGTTGGCCATCATTTCCTTTAAGCACATTCACAGGACTGTTCCACTGTCTTCTAGCTTCCATTTATTCTTTTAAGAAGTCATCTGAAAATCTAGTTGTTACTTCTGTGAAAATAACTGCTTTTCTCCCTTTCTGATTGCCTGCGAAATTTTTCTTTTCTTTTCTTTTCTTTTTTTTTTTTTCTTTTTGAGACAGAGTCTCACTTTCTTGCCCCAGGCTAGAGTTCCATGGCATCATAGCTCACAGCAACCTCAAATTTCTGGTATAAAGTAATCCTTTTGCCTCAGACTCCCAAGTATCTGAGACTATAGGCATCAGCCACAACACCTGGCTAGGTTTTCTGTTTTTAGGAGAGATGGGGTCTTGCTCTTGCTCTTGCTTGGGCTGGTCCCAAACTCCTGACCTCAAGGGATACACCCACCTTAGCCTCCCAGCATGCTAAGTTTACAGGTATGAGCCACCATGCCCAGCTGCCTATGAAATTTTCCCCTTATCTTTGGTTTTTAGCATCTGCACAATGATGTGCTTATAATTTTATCTTATCTATGTTTTTTTGTTTGTTTGTTTTACCTTATCTGGGTTTTGGAAAGCATCTTAAAGACATATGTCTTGAATTCCTTCATTACATTTGACAAATTCTCTACTATCGTTCTTCTGCTCCATTCATTTCTTCTCTTTTTCTGACCCTTTTAATAATGTTAGATCTTATTACTACTATATTCTCTATAGTCTATAGATTATATTTTTCATCATATTTCTCTGTTCTTCCCTATAAACAGAACTGATTTACAGTTCACTAATTCTCCCTTCTGCTGTGCCTAATGTGCCATTAAACCTGTCCATTGACTGACTATGATGTTTCAGCTTTTGAACTTCATTTTGGTTCTTTTTCAAATCAGTATGTTAACTTTTATAGTTTCTAGTTCTGAAATGTTTAATTTTATTAATCATTTTCTGGACTATATTAAGTATAGTTATTTTACAGTCTAAGTCAGATAAGTCTAGTATTTGGAACCCCTGTGAGAATGTTGCTGTTACCTATTGTTTTCTGCTAGTTCTATTGGTTCTTATTTATGTTGACTTGTTCCCTCTTGTACCAGGTTATATTTGATAGTGTACCAATCAGTACATTTGAGAAGTTGTTGTTGTTGTTTTCTAGAGACAGAGTCTCCCTTTGTCACCCTCAGTAGAGTGCTATGACGTCACAGCTCACAGCAACCTCCAGCTCTTGGGCTTAGGCAATTCTCTTGCCTCAGTCTCCCAAGTAGCTAGTACTATAGGTGCCTGCCACAATGCCCAGCTATTTTTTTTTTTTTGGTTGCAGTTTAGCCAGGTCCGGGTTCGACCCTGCCACCCTCAGTATATGGGGCCAGCACCCTACTCACTGAGCCACAGATGCTGCCTTGTTTTTTTCTTTCTTTTTTTTAGGCCTAGGATGATGTCTTCTTTTGCTGAGTATAATTCTTTATTTTTGCTGGGGACCTGGAACCGTTAACAGAACAAGATGACCTGAATAAATTATAAGGGTTGAGATTTTCTGAGCCATCCAGTTGACTTACAACTAGGCTGAAGTTGATGAAAATTCCAATTTATTTCTGGTTCACTCTTATTTTATGATTCAACCCTTTGTGAACCCTACCTCACTAAGATGTGGAGAATTTGACAGGCCCTCACCTTGGGTCTTGTCCTTCTGGCCTCATGTGGTTGTCAGAAGTTCTATTCACTTCCTTTTCATGGAACCAGCAGGTGCACCTTGGTAAAAGAAGCTTTAGTCTTGAAATTTGAAGTTTAGTCTTTCCCTGGATCTTCGCTGAGAAATCCTTTATTACCTTATTAGTCTCTAATGTATTCAAACAGATCTTTAAGAATAATTCATCTCATACATTCTGTTTTTCCATATCAGAGAGTAGATTTGGATTACCCAATTTTCCATTATCAGAAACACAAATTTCTTTTTGCTTATTTTCAAGTTCTTATGGGGTATTCTCTAAAACTGTCAGGAAGCTCTAAGCCTGGATATTCATGGGGAAGTTTAGGTGAGACATCAAGAACAGAATATGAAAGTGTTGTATCCACTATTCCAGAGTGTGGCAAAGGAGGAGAACTTTTAAGTTCTTCCCACAAAGCTAACACATCACTGATTCTAAAACTTGGCAAAAGACGTGTGCACATGCACCTGTACATATGCACACAATTTCTTTCATCTTCAGTAATAATTACCATCTTCAAGAAAGTCATTTAATCCTCCTGGTCTTAGGGCACAATCTCTTTGAATTTGACATTTCATATTCTCCGATTTTAAAAGTGAAAATCAGGTAAAAACAATTTGCAGTAGTTATTTAAAGAGGGAAACTGTATTAAAGTTAGTGGTTGGATGGAAAGGATTGCCAAGAGTCAAGGAAATTTGTCACCATGCTGAAGAGCAGAAGGATAGACAGACGTGGAGACCACCAGACCTACCTGAATGCATCTCTTATCAATCCACCTCTCACTGCTTCATATTTGTAAAATGGAAATACAAATGTTCATGAGGTGGTTGAGGATTTAGTGAAAGAACATTTGTAAAGAGCCTGAGCTAAATAAATATTGGTTTCTCCTCTCCCTAGCCACTTGTCTAAATATAAGATTAAGTGCAGTTTCCAGCTGCCCAGAGGGACTGAGTCTATAATAAAAACTGGGGCAGATATGGATGGAGTGAATGTGGGGGTGATGCTCTAGGACACGGGGTCTGTAAGAAGTGATAAAGTGTGAGCAGGTGAACGAGACTCCACCAGGTGAAAACTTTGGTGAAAAAGGAGTTCCTTGACTAACTCTTAATTACATTTCAGCCTCATAGGAGATAAGATTGGAAATGTTGCCAACGGAATAAACATTGCCATTGTCAACTGTAAGTTATTAAATCTTTTCTATGAAATTTCTCTAAAAGCTCTGTGATTAGATTTTCTTGTCTTTTTTTTTTTTATTGAATGGTAACTATGTACATTAATGCATTTCTGGGGTACAGTTTACAAGAGTTTTTCACACCATCTAGTCTAGGCTTATATTGATGCATTTTTAAATTACATGTTTAATTATTTGTATAGGCTTTACTTTCCAAGCTACCATATTTTGCCATGCATAATACATACTTTTTTGCCCAAATTATTGAGCAGAGATAAGGAAGCACATTATACCTGTGTCGTACTAATTCCATGTCTGTATAAATGTTTTTAACTTCTTTATTTATGCTTATGTATTAAAAGTGTAATTCTGGAAAGTAATAACAATATCTGTATGCAGATAATCCCCTGGAATATGGTAATCATGCCCCCTTCACATTACCCCCTCACTGGGCAGGTCTTGCTGCTGCAGGAGCCTCCAGCCTGACTGGCTGATCGCACCAGACACTGCTGCCGCCATCATCTTGGAAGTGGGCATGCCACCAATGGTGATGTGATGATTAGTGTCAGGACCTTGGCAAAAGGAGGGCCGTGCACTGGCACCTCCTTCTCTAGTGAGGGGCGTGAAGTGTGGAGCCAGCAGCTGTAGAGAAGCTGGGAGCAAGCCCAGGTGGCAGGTGAGAGTGGTCCAGATGACCTGAGCCCCAGCCCTGCTCCATTGTCCCCTCCTGGCCCAGCCTTGTCCCCACACTCTCTCATTTCCTATTCTCATGCATGTCCACCAGCAGGAACATGGCCACGGCCACTCTGCTTAGAACCCTAGTGGGCTTACTTCCCAGGAAGCTGGTGTGAGGGGCCAGGGCCAGACCTGCCTGCCCCAGGTCCTGATGATAGACCCTACCCTTTCCAGGTTGCCTCTGCTCTTATGTAGCTGGCCCCATTCTGAGGCCCTGGGACACCATGCTGAGGAGGAAGATCCCTGAGCTGGGGTCTAGGAAACCTGGGTTCTGAGACCTGGTTATGCTAAGTAGCCCACTGTTGTGGCCTTGGGCCTCAGTCCCCATGAAGTTTCTGTCTGTGAAACAGGTACCCGGCAGTGAAGCAAAAAACCTTAGGAGTACTTGAGCTTAGGGACTGTAATTTTGAGCCTGTGACTTGTCTAAACTCCCAAGGTACTGAGTTGATAAAATTTCCTAAACTTACCAGTAGGAAGAACCATCTAAGATGCTATTAATGGAATAGATACCTGGGTCTTTGCCCTGGAGAGCTGAGTCGGTATGTTGGGTGTGGGTCAGGACTCTCATCTACCCAGTCCCCCGGGTGATTTATAGGATTTGCAAGTTGGGAAAGGTTGGTGTTGTTCATTCTGATGTTCCTGAGGGCCTGAAGTCTGAATGGCTCAAGGAGGTCAGGGTCTACTCACTAAGCAGAAATTTAAGTGCAGAGTGCTTCACTGGGGTGTCATCAGGAAGGCTCTTCCTCAGTGTGGTGTCCCAGGGGACTCAGGCTGGGGCCAGCTGTGTGAGAGATGAGGCAGTGTGGAAGGAGCAGGGGTGTACCATCAGGAGCTGGAGCAGGCAGGGCCAGCCCCTCAGCTAGCTTCCTGGGAAAAAGCCCATGGGAGTTCTCAGCAGAGCGTCTGTGGCCACATGTCCTCTGATGGACACAGGTGCGAATAGTAAATGAGGGGGTGTGGGAATGAGGGTGGGCCAGGAGGGGACGATTGGGAGCAGTTGGGGCTCAGGTCATCCAGACCACTCTCACCTGCCACCTGGGCTCGCTCCTGGCTCCTCTGCGGCTGCTGGCTCCGCACCTCATGCCTCTCACGAGAGGAGGAGGTACTGTCGTGCAGCCACTTTTGCTCTCCTTCCAAAAATTAAAATGAAAGATTTTTTTTCTGAAAGTTTAGGCTGGCTCAGCACCTGTGGCTCAGGTAGCTAAGGCGCCAGCCACATACACGCTAAGGCGCCCACCAAACAACAATGACAGCTGCAACCAAAAAATAGCCGGGCGTTGTGGCGGGCACCTGTGGTCCCAGCTACTTGAGAGGCTGAGGCAGGAGACTCGCTTGAGCCCAGGAGTGGGAGGTTGCTGTGAGCTGTGATGCCACTGCACTCTACCCAGGGGGACAGCTTGAGGCTCTGTCTCAAAAAAAAAAAAGAAAATTTAGGCCAAAACCATGGGGGCACATTACACCTGTGAGCACATTATACATAGCAAAACACAGTATTTATGGTTCCAACAATAGCAAAAACCAACCGAAAGCCAAAATACAAGAGACTTGATGAAACACGGGGAAGGGTAGACAGAAGATGAGTTAAAACCAAGGGAGCAGGCTGTCGGGGAGCAGACCTGAGGTCCGGGATTGAGCCTCCCCTTTGTTCTCAGATGCCCGGGGGCTGGGCAGAGGGGGACGCCACAGGCCGATTTGTCCTTCCGTGGGATAAAAGCCACTAGACTCTCAGGAGAAAGAAAACATGGGCTTCCTCTTAAGGCGGGACAATTCTGTCACAATTGCCAATGATGGTTCTGGAACATAAGAACCATAGCAGATTTAGGAAGAAAGTTACTGCAGCTTCCCCGTGAGTGAGCAGGAGGCACAGTCCATGGAGAGCAGGGCCGTGGAGGGAGGAGACAGAGGCTCCCATCCTCAGACAGTCCCGAGGGCAAAGCTGAGCACGAAGTAGACAGGGCCGGTGGGGGGAGAGGCCTTTGTGGTTTCAGTGGGAAGGAGTAGGGGGAGAAGGTTAGACCAAATCTAACCCAAACTGTCAGGAAGGAAGTTCTAGAGCCACTGCTGGTGCCACCAGCCCTGGCCCTGGGGCCATTGCTCAGGGCAGCCTTCTCCGTGCAGCCAGGTGATGGATTGTGGCCACAAGTATGCCCTGACGTCTCTGAACTTTCTTTTAAAAAACCACCCCTTTTCCTTTCAGATGTAACGGGGAAAGTGACAGCGACACGGTGTTTTGATATGCACGAAGGTGGTAAGAAAGTGCTTTTCCTAGTCAAATTATACACAAAATTAAGATATTAAAACACAAACAGAAATGTTGACCATTTTTATTTTGTCTCCTGAAAAAAAACAATTGCCAGTGGGACACATGATTATTCTAGACTGTTCTTATATTAATCCTCTTAGGCTGTAATCGAATTCATATAATAAAGTTTAGAGACATTTCTAGAAATGTCTTTTCTTTGTTTACATTTTTTCTCAGTCTTTCTCTTTTGTGCCTTCATGGGATAATGAGAAAGAAAAAAGGTCGTTTTGTTTAAACCAAATACAGTATATGTAAAATAATGTAGTCACCACCCAGCCCTGGATCCGGTCAGCACCTCAGAGGTGCCATGGTGGCTGTAGGCGCCCTGCCGGCCCCGCCAGTCGTTCCTAGAATGCACGGGTGCCCGGCTTCCTTCCTGGACTCTCCTTTCTGGGCCCTGAATCTTGAGCGCCGTTGCTGGGCAGATCACAGCCCCTCTTTTTAGTTAACACTGAGGGTTTTAAAAACAAATCTTTATAAAGATAGTGGGAAAGAGGAACAGAAAGGGCACGCATGCACCTGCTGAGAGCTGTGCGCTTGCCCCCCCCACCCCCCC